CAATACGTTTAATCAGAAATTAATATATGTACGTTAAAAGTTGGTGGGTGGACTGTACTTAGGTTGTTCCATCTATGTGCCGAAAGTTATATTTAGGGTGAGTTGGAGTGTCATCAGCTCATTACTTTAGCGATTACGTTTATGAGACACTTGAGAAGTGTATAGAATTCGTACTTGTGCGCATACATGAAAAGAATTGTGTTCTTGGTTGTATCTTACAACTTTCAAGGAACGCAACATAACTGCTGAAAAGGCTTGGAGAGCAAAATATGATTGAAAAACAGCAGCTATGAAAGTAAAGTTATGAGCAGAGTGGCTTGTATCTTGGTGACAAACCTTTAGCTAATTTTAGGCGCATTTCAATCACAAACTCGCTCAAACCTAAAGACACTTAGCGCTTTTTGGTTTATCATGCGGAGAAAGGCTGCTGCATTCTTAAGAATTCTGAATGAATGGCAGGCCAAGTACCTCTGGCTTCACTCAGCCAGTCGGGCAGTTCAGCCATGTCCACCACAGGGAACACATTTTATGCAGAGCCGCACCGCGCTGGTTTATACGCTGTTTCACTCCCTTATATATTCTTATTCCCTCGAACCCCTTTAAGGATAATTCTGAATTGATCAGTAGCTCATTTCTGTAACTCTTCTCTACTTATTAGCAGCAGAGAACAAGGCGGCGAATTCATATCTCAATTCGCCTTGGTAGAGAATTGTTTAACCATTTTTAGTATTAACTAGAGATTGTTTAAGTATTAGTTATTAGCTAGTGGAGGAGAGCTTAAAAATTCCGATTCCACTTTTTCACATCAATTTTTGGACTACCCTAATGTACATTCTCGAACATGAAAGTTTGTATTTTTAATACCGGCGTCGCTGCCAACATCATCTTAGACAACACACCGCTGTCATGGTGTATATGCACTTTACGTCGTGCACTGACGTCATTTCCTTGAATTTATTGTTCATTTTCCTGTTGTTTTCCAATACTTCGTCCTCTGCCAATCACTAGGTGTTTGTTTGTTTCATATGATTTCATTGAAGTTTTCTTCAATGGCTAAACGACAGCAAGTGACAATAAACGAAGGGGAGCATTGTTGTCGATGGATGAGCAAAGGGTAGGGAGCTGTGTGCATTTGGGTGCAATTTGATTTTGCAAAACTTTTTGTTTGTTAACATCAAATAATAATATTCGATTTATTTATTTTTGTCTTCTCTGCATTTGTGGCATTCTCTCAAGACTGGCAACAACCATAGACTGACTGCCTGCCTGCTGGCGCCGACGGAAGCCTTCCAGCTTTAGTGAATGGGTGGGTGAGTGGAATGGAAGCATGTAGGTCTTGAAAGTGCAAGCCTCATATAAATTCGTTCAACTTGACTGCTTGAAGGAGCTGCTCTTACAAGTTTCTTCTTACGCATACATACGTACGGGCAGTACTTATATGTATTTGTTTTTACTGCATTGCTGTTGGCTGCATTACTTTGCACCCAGCCTCTTGCAAAGGTCGTTTTTAATAAAATATTTCCTTCACTCAGTCGCTATAAGTTTTCTTCTTAGGCTTCATTGCAGCCCTTTTTACGCCTTTTCTCTGCTTTACACTTCACTTCATACTACATCAAGCCATCAACATCATCACCATCATCTTCGACGTCCTTCAAAGTAATTTGATGGCAAATATTGGATTAGTTTTTCCTCCGCTTTGATCGAACATGAACGATTTAAGAAGGTTATTTATTTATGGATACTTATGGGTTGTATTGGTGCATTTATGCCGGCAAGGGAGTACTTGTATTACATATGTGTAGTTGCGTGTGCGTGTACAGAATGTGCTCTCGTCATTTTGGTAGGCATCGCTATGTAAATAAATAACAGTATAACTTAATAAATTATCAAGTTCTCAAGGTTGGTGATTACTATCTACAATTTCACCAGAAGCGATAAATAATCATTAGCTGAATTATTTACAAGGTTTTCAAGCGCAGAAAGTAAATAATTCGCAAGACATTTTTGACAAACTTTTATTCTTGGTGATCGACTTAAGTTATACAGTTTGGAAATTCGCTGAAGCTTGCTTTAAATTGAGCAATAGCCGCAATTTTAATGAAAAACCGTCTGCGATTGCGCTGCCTTCGACCGGTTTATAAGTTTCTTAAAAGAAAACTATTTTCATATAACAAATCAAATTTGTATATATTTTAACAGAGCGAGAAACCCGTTTAATTACTTCACCTGTTTATTTATTTATTTATTTTATTTTATTTATTTATTTTAGCGCTATGTCCAATATACCGAGCAGTCCTTATATTTTGTTAGACTTTTCATAAGGAAAAATATTTACTGAATATTACTTTCTTCATATGAATTTTGTTTAATTTAAGGCATATCAAACAGGTAGTAGCATTAGAGCAAAAACAACATTTGCCTGTATTTTGTTGTTGCTTCTGATATCGAAAGTGTCAAAAACTGTTCTGATTTTTTCTTCTGCTTCAAAGCGTGCCGTGTGAAATAAAAAAAAAAACAATAAAAAATTTAAATTGAAAAAAATTAAAATTGTTGCAATTTTCTTTTTTAGTAAATTGGTTTGCTTCTCGAAGCATTGATCCATCCTGTGCAAGGCCCAGTAGTCAGCAGTTGTGCTGAGTAAGGCAAAATTTGTCAACCTTTGTTGGAAATAAAGTAAAACTCAGATTTTGGTATTATTTCCCATTTAAAAGTGAAATAAAACAAATTTTTCACATTTAAAAGCCGAGCCCTTTTATTTGACACCTCATTTCTTGTAATCAAGCGAACAGTGCGGATCTAATAATTTTTTAGACAGGTGGCTACCCTATAGGAATTTAAAGTACTAAAGATAATATTCCTATTGATACAGATTATATTTAAAAAATCTCATATTAACCCGTTCAGCAGCTTTTGAGATTAGCAAGGTCAAAATATCTCGTCTTTCCTTTATACTATGTATAGGAGACATTAATTTTTAAATAGGTGGCAACGTTATTTAAAAATGAAAGCTTTTGTACTTGCGAAGACCAGGCCCTTTCATTTGGTATCTCATTTTGTAAACCAACGAACGGCGAAAATCTTTTAGCTTTTTAATAAGTGGCAACCCCACTCAGAAAAACACATTGTTGCACATGTAGATGCTTAGTCGCTTCTATTGACAGTGACGGTGCAGAACTGATGCCTACGCTTATTATGATTAAATATAGTAATTTTAATAACAGGTGGCAACCCTTTCCAAAAATAATGTTAGTGCTTTTCTAGAGGCCAATCCCTTTTATTTGACACCTCACTTTTAGCAGTCCAACGAACGATGCGGTGGCAACCCTATTAAAATTCTATGTTAAAAAGGTCACTCTCCTGTCGTTACAGAGTATATTAGACAAAATCTCGTCAAAATCCGTTCAGTAGTTTTCGAGATTACCGCGTACAAAGAATCTCGACTTTCCCTTATACTATGTATAGATAGAAGAAATAAAGTCTTTTCAAAACTATTTCATTGATATCCACAGCGGAATAGTTTTTTTATTATTTTAAATAAATTGAGTTATTTTTTTTACAAGATGGCAACTCTTTGGCATTCCTTATTAAATAATTTGAATAAAATTTTTTAACAGGTGGCAGCTCTTTTCGAAAAAGTAAAACCTTATTGCACATCTACGGCCATTCATTTCATCTGAAACCTCATTTTTGAAAATTCTCTTCTTGCTTACTTAAGTTAAATCGACTCTAAATATCACAAATTTTAGAATTTGCGCCAAACTATCAAACAATTTTTCACCTAGTTTATTACTCGACAAGGTACCGCTAACACTTGCCAAAAATAAAAAATAATGACACTTATTTTTATCAAAAATTCCTTTCAATTACACTTTAAGCACCATCATAAAAATTTCCGCTTAACGCTACATTTATTGAAGTGTTAAATGTGCACAAATCAACGCTTGGCAAACGACAATGGAAATGCTGCCAAAAATTCGTTGAAAAGGTCAAGTGCTTATGCTTCTGGTGCAACAACAAGCACAAAGAAATTTGCACATTTTCATACGAGTATTGTGAACTAAAATTTTGTTGAAAGGGGAATTTTAAATTATGCTCGTACACAAATTTAAAAAAACTTACAAAAAAACCTTACACATTAATAGGCTGGGATTGCCAATCTTTTTAATATTTAATTTTTAAATCTGTGTAAAGTAATATTAATCGAACATTTGAGATATTACCGCTATAATGATTCATACTATATAGAACATAGAAAAGATTCTTGCAATTTTTTTGGTTTCGAGAATATTTTTATTTTTTCATTTTTATTGCTACAGTGACGAAAAAAGTATTGACACAGAGAATTTTGACAATATATGCAAGGTTTTCAACTCTTCAAAATCATACTATTTTAACCAAAAAGCTCAGGAATAGCGTAAACGAGACGAATTCGGGGAAAATTTCCAATACGGAACCAGGATTTCGAAAAAAATAAAAATGGTGTAGAGCGCAACAAAACGCAACTCGTAATACAGTAAAATGGATGTAAAAAATCTCCATTTATTCATATCTGTTGAGTTAAACTTAATTTTCAAAATTTAGAAAAAGTTTAAATTTAAACCCTATAAATTTTTTTTAAGTTTTATTTTTAAGTAAAAAGTACAAAATCTCTTATGAAATTGTCTATTTAACAAATTTGAAGTAGATTTACCGATCAAATCAAAATTTTATTCATTTTGTCATTTCGGAAATTTTACTTTCACGCAGAAAATTGAGATTTTTACCTAAAATGCATGCGCGGGTCAGTCTGCAAAGCATGCCATGTTTTCTTAATTAGCTTTTTGTTGTTTTCGTTACACATACAAAAACCAAGTACCAAGGCAACAAGTTTGGTGTGAATACCGCTATTGTATAATGTATGTAATATTTATGTAATTAAATATATATATATATATATATATATTTTTTATCCAAAGCTCTACGCTTACTAATTCAAAAATTTTATCATCTTTTACTTGCAGGTCTTTACCCAAATTAAGCAGTCAAGACGAAGAAGGGGGGGCAGGTCATGGGTATGGTGGGGGGCCACAGCACTTTGAACCCATTCCTCATGATCATGATTTTTGCGAAAGAGTCGTTATAAATGTAAGTACATAAGAAACAAGAAGTGAAACTCAATTAATCAACTCGAAATTTCTGTTGAAATGCGAATATTGTTTAAAACGGTTTACTTTAGTATTATATTCAATTCCTTTTGTCTATTTGAATTAGAAATCAAATCTTAGTCCTATTTCAAACACCATTTCAAAATTGAAATTTCTGATAAAGTTAAAATTTAAACTCATGTCGAACAGTATACAGTGTACCTCGGCATAACGAACTTTAATAAAACGAAAAACTTAACATACAAAATTTTTTATTGAGTACCATAAAAGACCTCGTTATTGAAAATATTTCTAAAGAAAAAAGCTCCATGGAATATATTGGCGATTAAAGTCCCGTAAGCAAAAGCTACTTGTGTCGACCGAAAAGCCTCCGCCTAGTTCTGTGAATGACATAAGCGTCATTTTTTTTTTCAAAATATACTTTTTTGTTGCAGAAATAATCCTAGAACATCTAGATACACTTCTGCATTAGAAATGAAATTTTCAAAAAATGTCGCTTACGTCTTTTCGGCGGTTGGGGCTCCATATATTGACGTTGAAGGTCCCGTTAGTAAAAGCCTCTATATAAAAAGTGTCGACTCTAAAGCATCTACATTGCGGATTCGGAAAATGTTGACTGTTATATATATTCCCGTTATTAAAAAAATATAAACTATATCAACCCCTTTAAATACGTTATATCCAGGTTTCACTGTATAATATCTTCAATATAAAATTTAAATTCACGACTTGTTTGAATTCAAACTCAAATTCACACTCGGTTTCCTTATGAAATCATATTTATGTTGAACTGAAACTTAAATTTGATTCAAAATCAAGCTTTGAAATTCTACAATTTATAAATATCGCTTGCTTGGAGTGAAAAGTGGCTAAGTCCACCTTTTATGAGAACTCATACTTTGATATAGGAAGCAAGATAAATTAAAAATGCATTGTTTTGAAAAGCATTAAGGCACTTGTTTTATTTTTTCCCGTTTATATTCAATGAAAAGCAAATTTGCTAAGTCCAAAAGAGCTACCGAAAATCCGATAAGGTCAAAATAATACGAAAGCTTTAATAAACACCAAATCCTGCTGATTCATATGGAGCTTTGCCTGCTTTAAACATACAAAAATTTGTATTAAAATTTTTGCGAAATACTTGAAGAAATTACTATAAAAAAGTTTTTTTTCCTTCCCTGCAAAATTTTTAATAAACGACTTAGCAACTTTTCACTCTAAGCTTGCGTCATCTCAATATTAACCAGAAATTTTTCCAAATTTCAAACAAAATATCCTACTCAAATTTATATTGAAACTCAAGTTCAGATTCAAATTTAAATTTTTGACAAGTATGAGGTGAATAAAATTTCCCAAGCTCATTAGGCTGGTTAAATTTTTTGAGAAATGCATAGAAAATTTTGACAAACGTAAAAATTGTTGATGTGCATAATTTTTCTGCCCTAAATTTAAGCAAAAACCATAAAATATTAGGAAATGGAGTTTTTGGTGGTAAAATTAAGAAGTACTAATTAAATATTTCTTGTAAATACATTTCGTTAATGTTTCAAAAACTTGAATTGATTAAAATTAAATTGATTAAAATCTTAAATCGATCAATGATGGTAGATGTTTTCTTAAGATATTAATTTCACTTCAATATACAATATGTTATTCTGTGGTTGTCAAAAATTGACTGCTGTCAAAAAAGATTTCATTTCACACAGCAGATTGTCAAAACTGTCTCAACATAGTAAACATTTTATTCGCCAGTTTTCCCCACAGAACTTTGTTACCCATTCACACACGTCCTTATATGTTTAAATGTAAATTCGAATTCAAACTCAAATTCCAATTCAAATTCGAACTCAAATTAAAATTCAAAGACTTCTTTAAAATTTCAGTCAACATTACTTACATTTGCTAGATCAAAATATATAGCAAACAATTATCTATTGTCTGCACTGACCATTATTTTGTAAAATATTTTTTATGTTTACTTCTTTTCTTTTGCCTAAAAGGTTATATAATACTGTTTTCAAATTTCTTGCATTTCTCAATGCATTCTCTTTCTATTCTTCATGATTTTTGTTTTATTTGAATTTTTTTTTTTTCATCGATGCACAATGCCTCCTGCTATAGGTAAGCGGGTTAAGGTTCGAAACACAATTACGAACGTTAAATCAATTTCCGGACACACTGCTGGGGGATCCAGCTCGGCGATTACGGTACTTTGACCCGCTTAGAAATGAATATTTTTTTGACCGTAGTCGGCCGAGCTTCGATGCAATTTTATACTATTATCAAAGTGGTAAGTGTACTACATACATATAATTATGGTGTAAGTCTTACGTTTTTATCTTTTTTTTTTTGAATACATATTTGTTGAATAATTATTTTGATTTAATTACCTTAATAATAATCTAATTATGTATGCATAATGAATAATCTCTTTTCTCGCCTTTCGCTTCTAAGGCTTCTTTAACCCATTTTTCTAACTATATATGAGAACAGACCCTAGAATTTGGTAAATAGATCTTAATGAATATGAAACTCTGCCAAAAAGCAGTGGTTTATGTAATTCCTTTCTGCATACATACTTACCATCGAGTATAATTTCAAATCTAGCCTTTTGTGTAGTTTATGTAAACTTCTAAATTTGAATTTAAAGGATGGCGGATACCTTTTTGGTTCGCCTTTTCTCGAATTTAAATCCTAAATTATCTATACACAAAACGCGACTCCGTGCCGCTTTGCTATCTGAAATAATAACTAAAAACACACCCTTGCCTTAATTTGCCAACCCAGGTATCTTCCCGTTGACACCTGTATGAAGCATCTTACTTGGTGTAGAAGTCGTTAGATCGTCGAATTTGTAACTTCCTCGTTGTTATTGGTGTTGTTGTAACAGTATACAAATTCCCAAAGGGTTTTTCGGGATTTGGGCTGCAACTTCCTCGTCACTGCTGTTGCTTGAATATAAAATGTGATGACTCCAGAGCAAGTTCTCATTGATCCAGTGGCGTTGAGACATGCCTGCAGTTTATTTATTTTCACAGTTTATTTATTTTCACAGCGTGAGGCACTCTACAACGCTCATAAGTTGCCTCCCAACGGCAAATTCTTTATATGAAAAGCTTTTTCATACCAGAAGTACACTCAGTGCAAACCGCATTGCCTTTTGTATGATTCTTTTTATGTTGCTCAGCATTGTGATTGAACAAGGGTCATCCGGACTGCTACTACCTACCTCTCACCACTAGCCTGCGGCAGTCCTGGGCGGCAAATTGAAATCGAAGCAAGTTCGATCGCTAGTTGGCTGCCGCAGCTAACATCGAAATCCTAATATGCATCTTGTCTAAAGGAGGATGGCAATACAGAAAACTTTCTCCATTTCTGTCCGTCTTTCTCTAAACTGGGGTAGCGCCTTTTTTGCTCAATCGAATTGAGAATGGATCAGCTACATTGTCTGTCCTTAAACGGATTTCTCAGCTTCACTTAGGTGTCAAGGTAATTTTAAGAGGGTGGTTTTTATATATTTTTTTTCTTATTTGGCGCTGTAACTGCCTAAGCGATTTTGGCCGAGTTCAACAAAGCACACCAGTCGTTTCGCTTCTGTGTCAACTGACGCCAATTGGAAATGCCTAGTGAAGCCACAAGTCCTTCTCCACTTTGTCTTTTTATCGCAGTAGGAGCCTCCCTCTTCCTCTGATACCACCCGAATTGCTGTCAAAAATTCTTTTAGTGATGATTTTGATTTTTTACTTATAATTTTAGAATAAACCTCGGTGTACAGCTCTTAAGAAAAACGAAAAATTTACACATTTAGAATGACGCACAAAAAAAAAAAATAAATTTAACCGACTTCAAAAAGAGATGAAGGTTATCAATTCGTCGGAATATTTTTTTTTTCCTTTTTTTCCACGTCAACCGATTCCTATAATTCTTTTTTTTTTAGGGAAAGGTGTTACCTTATAGGTGGTCCCATACTAATTTGGTTATTTTTTTCTTCAAGAATATTTACAGCAACGGCAAAGAATTTTTCAAACTGAAATAATGCAAATTACTTCTTGCAATTAACCAACTTCAAAAAAGGAGAAAGGTTTTTAATTCTTTAGACTTTTTTTATGTATACTACCGGATAATCTTGAACCACCCGAACCATTATTGATATTTTTTTTATCGGAAAGGTCGTGGTCCCATACTAATTTGGTTTATTTTTATATTAACATTGAAGTCGGTTGTGTTATTTGTTTAAATATTACTTGCTTTTCTTAAGAACTGTATAATTTCTATGCTTAATGCTTGAATAATATTTTCTTATTTGAACCAAGAATGTTTTTTAATATAAAAAAAAAATATTTCATGTATTTTTTCTTCACAGAAATTAATATAAAATATTGTAATAAATATATATTAACATGAATTTTTCTGCTCTTCTCTTTTACCCCCTCTTTCATCTAACAAAACATAATCGTTTGCATCAACACATGCACACTAAACAATCATAAACATACAAACACCGTGAAAAACCAATTTTCTTTCCTTATTATTTTCATCATTATTGTTACAATCATTACTATAATTTATATATATTTTACAATGAAACTCCCTCATTTAGGTGGTCGACTGCGGAGACCGGTCAATGTCCCTTTAGACGTATTTAGTGAAGAAATAAAATTTTATGAATTAGGTGATCAAGCAATTAATAAATTCAGGTAAGAGTGTTACCAAAACAGAAAAAACACACGATACAAAATATTTGTATATAAAGAAAAAAAAAAACAAAAGCAAATATTTTTTGTTGAAATTTAAATAAATAATCGATTACAAAACCGATGCGTAGACTTAATTGGAATGTTAATGCTGAATGATTTCTACTCGTAATTAACAAAAATTTGTTTATTTTTTTAAGTAGACTTGTGTAACTATATAATCGATAGTCTTCTACAAGAACGGCACAACTCAAAACTAAAAAAAAAAACAAAATGCTTACTATTGTTAACTGTCTAATTTCTCTAATGTTTATCGAATCCACGTCTGATTCTTCCTATTTACTTTAGTAATTTTTACTACTTACACACATGGATTGAACAAGGGTTAGAGATATGAGACGCTTAACAGAGTTGTGTCGTTATTGCAGAGTAGCATCGATGCACACTAATAAATAAATGTACAGAGCAATATTTTTGTTTAACCAATTCTGTTTACTGTGTTTTAACACTAATACAAATGTATGTATATTTACAAAGCCCAGTTGGAAAATGATTTCGAGAAAAAGCATGAACTTAGAAAATAAGTATTTTTTTTACATACTTACGAGTACCTACAATCGTTGTTGGAAAAATTTGTTTATTTGTACTTGACAGCTAAGTATTTTTCTCTTCGTAATTTGAATTCACCTTAAGGCGCTTTCAAGCCACATAAGGCACACTCGGCTGTAAATCAATGTAGTTTACATAGTTGTTATAAATACACAATGTAAATCATTACCTACACATACTTACATATACAAGTACATGCGTAGTCTTTCAGCCATCTAACTACAAATATATATACATATCACTACAAAATAATGACCACAATATTTTTTACAAACGTCATGCGTAGTTAAATTGATGCACTTCAGCATACTTCAGCGTGCACGGAATGTGAATATCATACAAAAGTCCCATGAGAAATTTCATAAAAATCATTAAGACCCAATAAACTTACTTTGAAGTATTTAATGCAATATATTAAGGATTATGACCTCTAACAGAAAATCTGGTGTGTAAATACATATGTGTGTGGGGGGGATAAAGCTCCCTAAATATCAACCGCTAGAGCTCTCTTGCTAAGAGAATCATTCACTTGTTTAAGTTATGTCTATATGTGTTTTACATATATAGACGGCAAGGAGAAAAGCACTCATTGAATAACACCAACTTAATACTGTCACGATATAATTACCTTTATACGGTTACACTGATGAGCCCACAAAGACATCAGTTGCCATATTTTCAAAGGAATCCGACGGCTTTTTTTTACTTCATTTTGCCGCTTTGCCCTTGCATTTAGGAACACCTATGCGTTCTTCAAGAATTTTTCGCAAAAATCACATTACATTTTTGGGCCATTTAGGGCATAAAGTGAGGAGCTTGGCTTTAAATTGCTTTTCATTAAAACTTCGCAACGTATTATTATTTTTTATTATGAGCCATAAGCACCGCTTCCGCTAAGGTAGTCTATTGGGCGTGGCCCATTATCCTATACATGAAGGCATTTCGAATAGATTAAGTGTTATACCACCTAGGTGAGCGATCCTGCGCGAGCGCGAGCAACACATTCACAAAGGCAGTGCTCTAACGTTTCTTCGTCCAGCTCACACAAATGACGGGTGCTCAAAGATTTATTTTACTAAGGTGCGATGTCCCGTGAAGTACCCAATTAGAGTTTGAAGGTTCTCTCTGCCTAGTTTAGGCGCGTTTTTAAAGCATATTTTGATTGACGGATCAACCGCTTAGTTTGTCTTTGTCCTGGACAATCACTTCAGCACTAGTGGAATTTATCGTGGGCTTTGGTGAGCCCATATAGGGTTCCGGGTCATGAAAAATTGTGGTTCTTTTGCTAGGCCGTCCCTCATTCTCTGGCACCCAGCCCAGTAGTACTGTTTTGTTGAATCGGTATTTTACTAGCAAGGCAGCCTGACTATGCGAGATAATGCAGATGTTCTTAGAAGCTGTGCCTCTTCGGAGATATTCCTTTCCAGAGATATTTATTGCTTGAATCTCTGCTTGGAAAATGTTGGGGACGCTGTCCAATAGTTATCGCTCTTTTAAAATTCATCCCAAGTATACCAGATCCAGTTTTCCCATCTTAAATTTTTTATTCATCTCATGGTTTGGTCCAAAAGCGGATTCAACTATCTAGTTCTGAACTTTTTCTCCCATGTGGTTGTTATTATATTTCTCTATTGGTGAGAGAAACGCAACAACAACCACATGGAAGAAAAGTTCTGAACTTAAACGATGAATCCGCCTTAAGAGTTTCCTACGCTACTTGTCATATTTCCGGTTTTTAGGAATCGCAGTGCTAAAAGAGTGGCCTCCCTCTCTATTATGATTGGGAAGGTAGTATACTCACTAGCGCACTGTGTGCCAAAGCAAATAATTCGGTGTAATTTACTTAGTTTTATACTAGCAGCTTTTTATGTAGCTTTAGTCCACCATGGCAGGGACATGTCGGTGACCAGCGGCTTCACAACCATATTAAATAACCAGTAGTCCCAAAGGTGTCCAGAAAACTCGAATGAAAGTAATAAAGTGTGTCATCGATTTGTGGAGGGTTGCATCCAAGTTTGCCTGCCAGGCATTTTGCTTCATTTTAAAACCTTATTCTAGTACCGCCCTTATTAAATTCAGTCACGCATAAGCTTTTTATCCGGTAAACCTTAGTTTTAGTGGGATTAATGGATAATCCTTTGACGTAAGGCTATAAATGGCAGTATCAGTGGATTTATGTGGTTGATAGGCGAATTTATTCTTATTAAGTGATCATTCCGATAAGTTGACTTCTCTTATGTGTTTATCCAAGATTTTTCCATGCCTTTTAGGATAAAACAGCTGAGGATAATGGGTCTGTAGGATGAAGGTATCTGGTCAGGTTCACCTGCCTTCCATCTACTAGGAATATGGCGCAGTAATAGCGACGCTTTGTATAATCCAGAGACAACTGGGGCTATATAATTACTTCCTTGTTGAAATAGACAAAGATGGGCCCCATCTAGTCCTGGTGATTTATAAAGGCCATATGTAAATACCGCATATTGCACTCTTTCTACAGTGGTGATTTTAGTTCCAATGCTTTGTTTCCTTTCAGAAGTGCATGTTGGAGCACCCAATTCTGATCGATAATAGTCTGCTTTACGGCCCGAAAAGTGAGTGTCTCACCCGGATTCTGAGTATAATTGCCTTCTCATTTCTTTAGAGTGCCGATCGTATTCTCATGATCCTTAGTTAGAGCTTTTTGTCGGCGTACTGCTTCTGGCAGGCTATTTTTTTCACGCAGTGGTTTCGCCCTTTTAGATTTCCACGATTCTTTGTTAAAGGAAGTTAGCGCAAGATATACAGAATGCAATCACCGGTATTCATTGAACCATTGAATGGTTTTCTGGCCTGACATCTCATTTGCACAAGCTCCTTGCCCCACCAAGGCATATCACCTTTGAAATGCACCTTTTCTTGGGGACAACTACTGTTGAATGCTATTCCAATGCCTGAATGAAGATGTTCAGTCTCAGTCTCAAGCTCCTGTGAAAACGCGATTGGACTATTGGATCGTGGTCAGAGTTCGTTTTCCTAGGATTTCTAAAAACAAGTTCCGGCTCAATAAAGTGACCAATGACGAATTCTATTGGCATACGGTCTGGCATTGATACCTCTCCTGAGACGGGCCAGTTTGCGGCATACGCTGTTCTTAAAACTCAATGATCTGTTCATCCTTTTTGTTGGTGTCGGTGCTCTCTTAAACAGTACTATAGACATTTTCATCATAGCAGAGCATCCATGGTCTACTACTCTGACGGCAGTGATCTATTAGTGCTTTTACTTTAAGTGTGGGTGCTATCTCCTCCTCACAGGGGAATTACGCGGAAGCAAGTACTACTTCCTACGCCCACCACGAGTTGGAATTTTTTGCCCAGACCGCAATATGAACTTTGGGAGCGGAAGAAACGTTAGTTTGTTACTTAATACCATCGCAACCCTCCGGCGTGAGCTGAGGGTACAGGTAATGTTACCATCCTTTATAAAAAGGCCTTTGACATCACTTTTAATTATGCACGGTCCGTGAATGAAGGCTAAACCCAAGCTTTCGTTTGTGAAACTTCTACACAAAATATCTAAACTTGCCTTGGCGTGGTAAAGATTCACTTAAAGGCATTTCGTGAGCCTCGATTTTTAAAAGGTTTTGGGGTGAGGTGCCATTACTTGCGGTCGTTCTTTCGTCGTACTTTCTTCCCCCTGTTACCTCCCAGCAAAACCACTCCCTCGGCCGTCCTTGCATCTTCCTTACATCCACGGATGGAAGGAGGCCCTTTGTGTTGTCCGTATTGCATGCGATGAATTCTACGTTCCGTTGGGCTTCTTATAACACCTCTTGTAGGTTCGGGTATGTCGTTGCTGCTGTTTCCGGAGACGTCGTTGGAGCCTCGGGTAGCTTAGTCGAGTATTTTCCAATGACGACCTGCAATGACTTCACGACGAAACTGTGCCCTGGAAATTTTTCAAGAAACAAGCAAATTTCGGAACGAAAACTGTACACCTGATAAGCTTAAATTTTTGAAGGGTTACCTTTCATTAGATAGCTATAATATTTATTTAGTAAATATACATATATGGCTTAAAGTTTAAGTATATAGCGAACCTTGTATAGAAGACACATCGCAAGATTGTCGTGCGGGTCTTTGCCAATATTTGCTATATTCATTACGAAATCTCCTCTCTGAGAGTGTTCGTTAAACTGTGACTCTTTTACTTCTTTCATCCTCCACCTATTTCGAAACCTATTTCGTGAAATAGAAACAATTTTTTACTTTGCAATGGATATTAAAGCCTATATACATTCGATCTCAATGCAGAAAAAGATTTTTGTACTCAGAAAGATGAAAAGTTTACTCGTAACCAGTACATAGACTAGCCGATTATCGTTGACTACTATATTCCAACTGGGCATTAATTGCAGTTCTATGTTTGTATTCCATTAATAAAAATCAATAAACTTCCCAAAGGACACTCGTAACATCAACGCTCATTGCTATCACTTACTCTCTATGTAAATACAATATGTTCGATGTTATTGTTGTTGTTTGAAAATTGGTGTTGTATGAAATTGAAATTAATTTTATAAAAATTTGATAATTTTTTTTGTTTGTTTAAAAAATATGTTATTTAAAATTAACCCGGATATAATCTACACGTCATCGAAAAAAAGCAAAATTCTTTGAAATGTTGCAACAAATTTTGATAAAAAAAAACGCAAAAACAAATTAAAATAACTGCTATTGCAACACAATTAATCACTTGACCACCAGCTTAAAATTTTGTGCGTACGGCATTGGGGGAGTATGTGGCCGGTACCGTGGCACGCACACGCATGCGCAAAAGCAGCAAGCAAATTAAACAAAAGCCAATTCCATTGAAATTTAAATGGGAGTTTTACTTGAAGTGCAACGATCACCAAACAAAAAAAAATAACTAAGGTCGAAAAAGTTCATACACACAACATACTCGTACGCATTACACGCACACTACATCTGTAGCTGAGATCATTTTGTAGTGCATAATATTAAATACATACAAACAAACATGACATAGCAAAGCGGGGCTCGTAGCGATTATACATACATATGTAAATGCAAAGTAATCGGCAATACAACGCTGGGCATGCAGAGATGCTTACACGCCCTATGCACAATAAAATGCCATTCCATTCAAGACACAAACCATCTCAGCCGACGGAGCTACCTACCACCGCTGTTGAATAAATACACCGTTGAACTCAGCGAAATTTGGCAACACAGACAGCCGTTGATTGCGATATACATATTTAGTGTGGTTTTTTGAATGTTTTACTTATGTACATATTTACACGCATACACTTACTCATAAAAACGAACAGACACGTAAAAAGAAAAATAATTTTGAATTTTCTTTTAGTTTTTTTTTCTAAGTAGAATTGTTGTAATTTTTGTTTAAATTTAAGATACAAATTTATTACTTCAGTGTTACCTTTTTACTAAAATGATCACTGACGGTTGCTAAGTAATACATACATATACATATTTGGTGTCTATTGAATAAGAAATGAAAAAGGCAGCGTGAAAAGAAACAAACAACATTTAAAATTTGATGTAAATTGGTTGGTCTTTATTTTAAAGTGAAAATGCATATAAGTATTTTGTAACTGTAGATAATTAACTAAATAACACTTTCTGTGCTTTTTGTTTAATTTTTGAAACCACATCACGTCAACCGACATTCGTAATGCCACAGAGAGGATGAAGGCTTTATTAAAGAGGAGGAAAGACCATTGCCGGATAATGAAAACCAAAGAAAAGTCTGGTTACTCTTCGAGTATCCGGAGAGTTCGCAAGCCGCCAGAGTTGTAGCCATAATTAGTGTATTTGTTATATTGCTATCAATTGTTATATTTTGTCTAGAAACATTACCCGAATTTAAGCATTACAAGGTGAGTTGAAAACAGCAAAAAAACAAATACATTAAGCTTTTTGAATGTATGAGCTTTTTCATAATTTTTTGAAGAAGAGAAAGCTCCCGGACCAAACGCTTTGGATTCATGAAACTTCTCAAAACCGCTACGACAAAAACGTAAGCCTTGCTTGAGTGAAAGCTTTACGCTAATTACGACTCGTTACTATGCTAATTGTAGTTAAAGCTTCAAAACCAAAACTACATACATACATTTCTATATATGGTTAATTTAACCAGACTTCTATCTCAACAAATATGAATTTAGAAATTTCTGAATCCATGAGCTTCGTTACGAAAGCTCACATTTTTTAGCCGTTCTGGCGCTTCGTTGAAATTGGAATTCAGAAATTTCTAAATCCATGAGCATTTATTATAAAAACGTATGCCATAGTAACTTGAATGAAGTCTTTACTTTCATCGCGCCAGCATTAAGCTAAGCAGTTCCAGTGAAAGCTTAGTCAACAAAAGTATGTCGTTAGCTCGAGCATTCTTCTGCATATTGGATCAAAGTGAACTCTCAAACTTTCGAGCTTTCATTACCAAAGCGTTACAAAACTTCAGCGAAAGCTTTACGAAAGCGCTAAGCGCTAATATTTAACGGAAAGCTTTTTAACCCAAATTATGTGGTAAACACCACCATTCTTCTACTTCAGAAAAATGTGAAAAAGCTCATTTAATTTTAGCTCAGTTTTTTTACTAATTTTTTTTCTCTACTTAACGTTTTCCTTTTACTAATCTCAAACATACTTAACATTAGATTTTTTAATACTTCGCTTAAATTCTTATTTTTCCGCTTTTTGCATCCATTTTTGCAACTTGATGTCAAATACAATATATTGAAATCAAAAAGCTTCTGGAACGGGTTGGATAATTTTTTCTTAACAAAAAATACAATTTTAATAATAATAATTGTTCGGTGTTGTAACTAGATGTGCTCCAACCAATGCCTTTGAAAATACTTATATAAAATACCTACTTATAAAGCCTAAAATGTAAAGCCAGCGCAAAAAGTTGAGAGTACATTCTGGTTTGAGATTTAAATAATTTAATTTAATATTCATTAACCTGTCGGTAAAAAAAGCTTGCTACTCTGAAAGAGCCCTTTAGTATTGTGCTCATAAGAATATGAATGAGTGTGTAAATAAAGAAGCTAAAACGTATGTATGTATGTATATAAAAATTATTCCGTTCAAACTTTTTAAAGCTTCTCAAGTAAACGAAAAAGTTTTTAAAAGCTTTTTCTAAATTTCACAATTATTCTTCTGTTCTCGTAGTAGATATTTTTATTTGAAACAACTCTGTGCAACTACCGCTATTGCAGGATCTCCTTTCCTAATTTTTCATGAGCATTACAAAATCCGTAAGAAAGCTCTAATAAAATTGGTTTTTCATTATTATTTTGTTTATTTTAATTATACTTAGCAAACTCTTTTGCCAAATGTGCTATTAATTCTTCGCGAATGCGTCAAAAGCTCTGAAAAAGCAGTAACGAAAATTCCAACGCCGGTTTAAAAAAGAGTTATATTTAAGGCGCGATTTTTACGCTTTCTGTAGATTTTATATAGACCCATACAGGGTAAGAGCTCTCTCTGTCTATGACTGTTTTTAAACTATTGAACAAGATTTCACAGTACACATCAAATCTTCACTGTCAACTGCGACTATTAAAAATTATGTAGATTTATTTTTTCCGCTTTTCAATAACTCAAACCAGTTTGCCTCTTAATTAAATGTTTATAGCTAAACGAGCTTAATTTTTAACGGTATTAAAATACATTATTCTAATATTAACTATGTTCGTAAATTAAAAAATATCTATAAATATTTATGTGTGTACATTTACGACAATATATTGGTTGCCTAGAGTGCACTTATCCTTTTGACATTAAGTTGTGAAAAGTAAAGCATATTATGTATAAATACTCGTACAATACAATTTAATTTATACAATTTTTTCCCATCATCCCAACCCCAAACACGACGAGTTGACAGTATTTTAATTAATTTTATTATTATTTTATCTATTCTATAACATTTTTTGTTTTAATTACGAAAACAACAACTTAAATGCCTTATAATAGGATGAGCTTGGATGACTTGAGCTTTTTGAATGGCTAGCAGCCTTATTCAAATTTTGTGCAGTACACAGCCTAAGCGTATGCAATTAATTTGGTGCAAATATGAATTATGAATTAAACTTATTCCACATAGAATCACCGCTACATTTGCATTTTTGTTAAGATAATCATTAAAAAATAAAAATAAAAATTTTAAATGCTGTCACACACCTTTAAATATCCACACATGTGTAAACACTTAAACCAACATTTCCTCTCCTTCGCCTCGAATATTTTGAATATATCTTACAAAAAAAAAAAAAATTAAAAATTATTTAAAATACCTCTATTTTATTCAAACTAACTCTGTAAATGCTTCAATGCTAAATTCAACATACATACATGTGTGTAAAATAATTTTTTTGTAAATGTCATTAATAAACTTCTTTGAAATTACTACTCAACAACGAAACAGGTGTTCAATACAACAACAAATGGCACAAAAATCGAGGAAGACGAGGTGCCTGACATCACAGATCCTTTCTTCCTTATAGAAACAATATGTATTATTTGGTTTACATTTGAACTCACAGTCAGGTAAGTTTACTTATTTGGGCACTATATAACCTTTAAGATTATTATAAAATATTTTTATACAAAAAAAATGCGAGTAGAAAACAGAAAATTAGATAAAACTCCAGTTGGGTAATAAGAGCACCAAAACAAGTATTT